AGGTTTTCTTCCTTTTAGTTGTTTTGGATTTAAAGATTTGGATGATAAAATATGATTGGAGAAATGGCAATAACATTATTTAATTATTAGGAATTTTAAGATAAAGCATTGGCCCTAGAGGACTAGTTTGGAAGGAAGTTATATACTTGAAAACTTTACAGGTAAGTAAATAGTATCCCAATAACTCGTTGGTAAATTCATTTTCATAAATATATTAATTTAGCATATTTATATGTCCTCTCTTTTATTTATATAATTATTTTTATTCTGCAAGAACAAGTAATAAAGTATTTTAATTAATTCATTTATTTATTTTTTTGGTTCATAATCTTAACTGTATTATCAACTATCATGCATGGAAATTCTTTCATTACATTGTATCTTATAAAAAAGTTGAATTTATCTTTCAATTGAACATCTGAAAGTATCTTCACTATTGGAAATGTCGAAAAGGAAAAATATATTGATTTTATCACTACTACAGAAAATGGGTTTTAGTGGCATTTAAAATTTTAATTTAGTGACGATTATAAAATGCTATAAAATTCAATGCTATCTTAGATCTTAAGTGGCATTTTATTAATTAATGAAACGTTATAAGAAACTAGCAATAACAGTAGTGTTTTCTCATGAAAATGCCACCTCTTTACTTAGTTTTAAAAAATAAAAGGGAAGAAAATGTGGGGTTTCTTGTAGCAAAAACACCCCCTTCTTTTTTTACTTTTTAAAAAATAAAAAGGAAGAGAGGTGGCGTTTCCTATAGGAAAGGCCACCTCTCTACTCATATATTTTTTTTTAAAATTAAAAAGTATCACTTTTTAATATATATATATATATATAATTTCTTATATATCTATCAATTCATATACATAATTTTCTTAGTAAATATACAGTAAATTTATACAATAAACTTTATCCATATAATTAACAAAAAAAATAATCAATCTCATACTATAAAAAACTACGACAAATTTAGCAAGGTCATCAAAAATCAAAGATAAAGAAAAAACATAAATTAAATATTAGTTAAGTAATATAATAAGGTTTATCAACAATTTTTGCAATATAGTTGTATAAAAAATACTTTCAACAAAAATAAATAAACAATAAAATTGAAAAAAATTATGACTAATGTTTAACAAGTTTCTTCCTCAATAATTAACAGAGATTATTTTCATTACTTTCTTGAAAGTCCAAAACTTGATAAAGCCAAACCGTTTATTATTGAAAGCACAAAGATTGAAGATCTCAATGTTTGTTTTCCTGATCTGAATGAAGATTTATACCCAAAGAATCATTTCACCAAAAGATATGCTTGTTAGCAAATTAAAAGGACAAACCCTTCAATAATGGAAAGAAAACTTTTCAACTCAAGATAAACAACAACAAAATCATAAAGAGATATATATATATATATATATATATGGATTGGTAAATAAAAGGAAATAAAAATGAAAAAGAAACTTGTTATTAGTATACTCATGCGAGAAACTTTAGTTAGAGAAGACGGCGAGAGCACCTTTAGTAAATAGAGAATAGATAACTTGTGGATTGCAAGAGAGAAAAGCAAGCGGCTGGGGAAGAGAACACTAATATGAAAAAAATTAGAGTTTAAAAATTCTAATAAGAGTTAAAAACTATCCCCAATTTTTAAAAATAATCAAAACCCACAGTGGTGGCATTTCTTCATGGAAAAAACGCCACCTCTTTAAATTTTTTTAAAAATTAAACTAATTACTAAAAAAACAATTTTTATTATTTTATATTTAATAAAAAATTTAACAGCTATATATTTAAAAAAATAATATTAATTAACAAAGATTTAATATATGTGAGAGAGGTGGCATTTCTATGACTTGGAAACGCCACCTCTCACATTTAAGTAATTTTTTATATTCAATTTTAGTAAACATTATTTTTATATATATATTTTTCAAAATAATATTAATTTATAAAAAGTTTAATTTATAAGAGATAGGTGGCATTTCTGTCACCTAAAAATGCCACCTCTCTCATTTAAATAATTTTTATTATTTTATATTTCATAAATAAAATTTAATGAATACATATTTAAAGAATAATATTATAAATACTACATCAATAAATATAATAAAATAATTATTTAATATGATAAAATAAAATTTTAAATCAATAAGAAAGTATAGAGGTGGAATTTTCAAGCTCAGCAAAAGCCACTTCTCTAATTTTACTTATTAAATAGTATGATATATTAATTAAAATTATATATTAAATAATTATTTAATCTAATAAAATAAAATAATAAATCAATAAGAGAGTATATATTAATAATTATATTAATTAAATAAATTATAATAAAACAATATTTTGTCTTCTAAAATAATAAAATAATGCAAAAGAAGAGAGGTGGCCCAAGTTTGGAAACGCCATCTCTCTTCAATTTTTTTTAAATATTATTTTATATTAATTATAAATACTAAATAAGTAAATTATAATAAAATAATTATCTAATATGATAAAACAAATTTTTAAATCAATAAAAGAGTATAGAGATGGCATTTTTAAGCACAGAAAACATCACCTCTTGATTTATTTATTAAATAATATGATATATTAACTAAATTTATTATTTAGTTAAATTATAATAAAATAACTATTTAATCTAATAAAAAAATAATAAATCAATAACAGGGTAGAAAAGTGACATTTTCAAGCTCAAGAAATGTCACCTCTTTGCTTTTTAATTATTAGATAATATAAATATATTAATAATCAATATTAATTATATAAATTATAATAAAATAATAATTTATCTTCTAAACTAATAAAATAATGCAAAAGAAGAGAGGTGGCATTTTCAAGTTTGGAAACACCCCCTCTTCAATTTTTTTAAATATTATTTTATCTTAATTATAAATACTAAATAAGTAAATCATAATAAAATAATTATTTAATATGATAAAACAAATTTTTAAATCAATAAGAGAGTATAGAGATGACATTTTCAAGCTCAGCAAACGTGGCCTCTCAAATTTTATTTATTAAATAATATGATATATTAACTTAAAATATTATTTAAATAAATTATAATAAAATAATTATTTAATTTAATAAAATAAAATCATAAATCAATAATAGAGTAAAGAGGTGGCATTTCCAAACTCAAGAAATACCACCTCTGTACTTTTTAATTATTAGATAATAATATATATTAATAATTAATATTAATTAAATAAATTATAATAAAATATTTTTACTTTATAAAATAATAAAATAATGAAAAGGAAGAGAGGCAGCATTTCCAAGTTTGGAAACTCCACCTCTCTTCATTTTTTTATTAATTAATAGATATACTAATTAAAATTACTAATTAAATAAATTATAATAAAATAATTATTTAATCTCATTAAAAATATTTTAAATTATTAACAGAGTAGAGAAGTGGCATTTTCAATTGGAAGTACCACATCTCTGCTTTTAATTTTGAACAAAATATTATTTTAATAAAAAATAAGAGAGGTGGTGTTTCGTCTCTCTTGAAACACCACCTCTTGTTATTTACTAAAATTGTAAATAGAAAAATAATTTATAAGCGGTGGCATTTGAAATAAAAAATGCCACCTCTCTGCTTTGACTTTAACATTAGTAGTGTTTTATTTTTTATTGCTACAAAATGCATGCTAATAAATCTCATTTTTGTAGTAGTGCATTGATCCATGCATATTTGATTTTAAAATGTAGGACTAAATCAGAACACTGGTTGCTAACGGCAGTTCTGTTAACCCTTGGCATGCCATAGTACACCTAAATAGCAAGTTGTTTGTAGGAGGTGCTAGTCTCGTGAGCAGGCCAACGTACGTGAAATGGAGGGATGGATATTCATGAGTATGGTACTCATGCTTGTTATTCATGGGCTTCATACCTACGCTTGTTTGGTGGCTTCTAGCCATACTTGATTATTTCATGGCTTTAAGCCACGCTTGTTGGTTATTTACCCTCGTGAACTGTGTGTTCACGTTTGTTGATTATTTACCCTTGTGGACTATGTGTCCATGCTTGTTAATTGTTTTGATCAAGTCCTACTAAAGAAAGAGTTTTGAGACTTATTTTCCTTAGGTTTGATCTTGAAAAGTAAATGGGTATTTTTATTGTATATGGATTTGTATTGAGAAACATAAATTCCAAGGTGTTTAAGGATATGAGGAAAATTGAAGGTGGAACTTGAATTTCTAATAATTTTAATTGAATTCTCATATATTCATACGTTATATATTTACCTAGTTGTTGGTGTTGATAATTATAAGTATGTGTTTATATTATTACAATTGATTATTCTAATAAGTTTATAATTGACTCATTTATGTTACTTTTTATTATTTCTTCCAACTGTAAATTGAGATATTATTCACTGAAAATATTTTTGTTCTCAGATAGCATAGTCGATAATGACCTCTTGTTGAACTTTGAGGGGCTCATTGTTGAATTGATGAGAAGACCTTTTGAAGATACCTTTCTTTTCAAGTAGATATTTAATTATGTGTTATACTTTAAAATTATGATCAGATACTCCACATTAACTATAGAGAGGATATGGTCTATTATCTATTTGTCTGTCGATTGACGAGGAGTAGAGCTTTGTATTTCTGATTTAGATTGTGCATTGATGTAGTAAAGAGTTTGGGAAGTTCTATTTATGGGAGAGATTCTATTGAAATTTTTACAAAAAGTTTAAGAATCTTTTATTTATATAAAAATGTTATAATGATTTTCCATCCTATTTTAAATGAATTAAAATATTAGATTAAAGTTTTCTTAAGACTTAAGGGATGTATGTTTGTACATATATCATGTACCAGTCACATTTAATTTTTAGGGCTTGACATTGGGAGCTTGGGTTGAAGAGACAAAGGTCGACGGAGTTAAATGGTGAAATTTTAAGTGAAGCTATGACTCACAGACTCAAGTTTTAGGAAAGCAATTGAGGCTGAGGTTTGGTGGTCACCAATGGCAGAGGGCCGAGAATGGATGGAGGAGTGGTTGCTAGCATAGGGGAAGGAGATTTAAAGGTGGTTGGTGGTGGAGATGGAAAAGACAAGAGGCAGAGTGAGAGAGGATTGAGGCTATGAGTATCATATTTGGCAAAGTTGCATGAGGGTTTCAGATTTGGGGGAAATTATTTGATTTTTTTTTAAATACCAAGCTGCAAAACGCAGCTTGCATACTTTAAGGGAAAAAAAAAAAACTTATTTTATTAATATTATATATATACATATGTTATTTATTTATTAATTTAATTTTTTTAAAAAAAGATAATGCTGCAAAACACATGTCACACCTTGAAATATGGGAGTAGCCGATATGGGATATGCACCTAAACACACATCCCTTAAGCATAATTTAAGAAATATTCCATTTTAAAAATACTTTTCATTTAAATGAAGCCTTAATATTTTTTTAAAAATTTTGACAGAATCTCCCTTGAATATAGGATTTCCCTGAAATTTTACAATATAAATTTTTAAAAAATATTATAGCATCTAGGAGCTTAGCTCCTTCTAGCTAGCAGACAAAATATTTACAAAATGAAGACCTTATTGCAGCCTATATGGAGTACCTATAATATTACTTATAAAAGTATAATACATAAATTAAAATTTTACATAAAAAATAGAGATTAACCAAATGGCATCACAACTTCAATCCAGTAGCAAATCCCTTAAATGATCTGACAGAGGTACAAGCTATCTAAGATCAAAATAACTTTCTAGTGAATAACATTCCAACCATAACATTTTACAAATTCAAAATGAATAACTACAACAGATACATAAATTAAAGAGGAAACAATTTTAATGTAAACAAATTTGTACGCTCAGAATAAAAGTTCTATATAACTTCAAAATCAAAAAACTTTAAATCTATAACAACAAAGCAACTTTAACATTTGATCTTGACAAGTCAAAATGATTAAATAAATACATAAATACAAATAATAAAATTTGCCAATTAAAAACCATTAATCATCAATTAATTAAAAATTCATATTTTTGGGAATTTATAACAACAATTCACAAATGTGAACATACAGTCCATAAGGGTAAATAACTAAAAGTGCCATGAAGACAAAAGTGGACACACAGTCCATTAGGATAAGTAACTAAACTTAGCCTTATATACAAAACAAATGTAGACACACAGTCCATGAGGGTAATATTAACCAAACGTCACTCAACGCCACAAAAACAAATACAAGTATGAGACCTATGAATAATAAATGTGAGAATAGAACTTACAAAAATCAAACTAGCCAGTCATTGACCATGGCGTGCCAAAGTTTAATGAGACTGCTGTTAGCAACCAGTGTCCTTCATAAAATTCCCTTCAAATCCATTTTTAAACTTGCGAGAAAATCATTACTATAAAAATACAGTTTTCATTCTCAAAGTCAAACTCACATGAATAGTTTTGAGCATTAAAAACTTGCCAAAATAAAATTTCATAACCAATGTCCATGTTTGGCATTTTTTGAGTAACCCAAAAAATAACTAGAGTTAATAAAAATAGTCTCATTAATCTTGAAAGTATCCTTCATAAGGAAAAACACAAGCACATGTCATAATTCAAATATCCTTTAATATCTTGTTATAATTTCCCAAGATAAAAATAATTTAACTAACAAAATATTAATATGTGATATAATTTTTATTGAATGACCTATGTAAAAAAAATATCTTGAAAAAATAATTTTATTAATAAATTAATTGGGACACCATCCACTTACATAATAGATTCCCGAGCATATAACTTACTTCCAAATTAGCCCTTTTTGCAACAACTTGAGATCCTTAAATTTCTATTATCCAAATAATACTATAGTCACTTTCCTATATACACTTTACAATCACTAGTGGTTGTAAAGTGTATATAAAAAAATGATGGGAAAGCACGATCACCAGTGGTTGCCAGTTGAATGAAGGAGGAGGGGCGACACCGCACAAGGAGAGAAGAGGGAAATCGGTGCAGAACAGGGGAAGAGGAATGAGACGCGAGCACCACAGCAATACCAAACGAAACTCTCGTACTCCAACACCAGCGATGAGCTGACGACAGAGAAGGAAGAAGGAGAAGACAGAGAAAAGCTTCTGGATCTAAAACATCTTTCTCTCTTTGTTGTGGCTGAAGAAGAATCAAGAATGGGGAAGAGGCTGGATGGATCTCAGTTCAGATGATAAGTGGCAGAGCCATATTGGAATATGGTAGCCTTGAGCACTAACAGCGGTGATGAGCAATGAACTGAGAAGGAAGAGATGGCAGAGGGTCTTCAATTCCAAACTTCCCTCTGTGTCCAGCGAGTTTGATGAATTTGGAAAAAGAAATGAGAGAGAAAAATATCTGATTAAAGTGGAGGGCAAAGTAGTAATTTCATAAGGCAAAGTAGTAATCATATAATGCATGGGTAACTCTCTCTACCCCCCTTCACTCTCTCCTCTCTCTCTCGGTTGTTTGGAATTCATGATGTAATATGGTAAGGTAAAGTTAGAACATCCCGGTCCCCCTTCCCCCAAAAAAAAAAAAAAATAATGTGTGTTACTATTAATTTAATTTATTTTTTATATTGGTTAATATTATTTTTTTTAATAAATGTTTGAGTTTTTAATAAAAATTATCTATATATGTTGTTATTCTTGATTAACATTAACTTTTTAATCGCATGAAAATAGTTGACAAGGGCTTTGATCCTATAAAAAAGACAAAATAAGTATCGGAATTCAATTTTGAAGGTCAGTTAATTAGCTGGTGATCATGTTCATCATTGGAAACCTAAATAATGCTTCTGTCATGTGTAATGCTCCTTTTAGAAATAAGCACTACGTACTCGCGTGTGTGCTCCCTGTGTCATGAAGTTATTGTTGTTTCAGAAATTCAATGCCGTTGACCAAAGAAAATTATTATACACTTATTTAGTACATCCAATTTTATTTATAAGTTATTTTTAGTTACTTCACTGAAATAAAAAAAAAAGGAAGTTAACTTATTGATATTTCTTGGAAAAAAAATCAAGAAAGAAAGAACGTGACTTAATACAGTAAAACATTTTACCAAAAAAAAAAGGGTAAAACAAAAAAAATTGATTAAAATTCCATCTTTTTTTTATAACTATTCTACGCTAGCGAGCTCAATATCTGTTGTTCTATTAAAAAAAAAAAACTGGCGTTTACAATTATTTTAATTTATTGTTTAAATTTTATATTGATTAACATTATATTTTGTAATAAATGCTTGAGTTTTTTGCTGTTATTATTGTGATAACTTTTTATTTTATAATATTCATTAATCAAATTATGAAGTTTCAACATTATTCGTTTTAAAATTTGAACGAATAGTGATTTTTTTTTAAAAAAAAGGAAAAGCTACACATGCTAATAAAAATAATTGACAATGACCCTCAAGTCTTGTGGTGCTAGACGTGTCCATCGTGGCCCCAAGTTTTGGGTTTGGTAACGTACTTCCTCAAACACTATGCTTGCTTCCAAAAAAAAAAAAAGGAAGCAGTTGTAAGTTTGTCTCTCAGTTCTTGGTAATAAAACAACTTCGCTTAAATCTTAACTCCCATGTATTAATTAAAAAAATTTTGCTTGAATCTTAACTCTTATTATGGAAAATCACCCCAAGCTTTAATCTACTCAATAACTTTTTATTTTATTTTTATTTAAGTATTATATCACCAATATTACCATTGGTTATTTAATATATGATATTGATATATGAATTGATATTAATGTAAAGAATTTAGATGGCCATGTGATGTAGAACAAGATGGGGGACAAGGGTAAGAGAGGAAAAAAAAAGTGATGGGATAGAAAAAAAAATAGAAAGGAGAGAGAGAATATCATCAATATTATTGAGTTTTATTCTATAACACTTAAAAACTGTATATAAATGAAAACTCTAACTCTATTTATAAAGTTATAAAAATAATAAAATGATATATTTAAATTCTAAATCTAATTTAAAAAAAGATATTAATAAGATGATAATATCCTATTTTTTTGAGTATAACTAAATCTAATTTACTAACTGTTAGTTGATTTAAAAAAATACAAATGACCTAAAATATTTAAAAAACTTAATCAATATTAATTTTATGTAATTTATAAATTTTGGATGAATATATATAAATAACAAGATTTTAATTAATAAATATTAAAATATTTAATATTTTTACAATATTTATTGAATTTCATTGTAACAAGATTTCATGACACCTAGCATTCCTAGAAAAAGAGTTCATAAGCAAATTAGCATTTAAGAATATGATTAGAGTCCTACTTATAATTGTGCATAGGCCCCATGCATGTACCGCATTAACATAAAATGACAAAGTAAATAAGTGATTAATACTAGAGGTTATTTTCTTTTCAGAAAAATGGTTAGGGGGAAAATTATCCCATTTATTTGTACAGGATGTTCTGCACTCCTCAAAAGTAAGTTCAAGGATAAAAACAAACTTTAACACTTAATGTTATAAAAGGGATCCAACTCTTATTTATAAGAGAGCTTTCATGTCTCCAAGCTATGAGACTATTGGCTTGCTTTATATATATTGTCACATTCCCAAAATTAGACGTGACTAGCATAGGATATATGCACAAACACACATTTCTTAAACCTTAAGTCAAGAAACTTTTATATTTCTAAAACATAATTAGATTTACAATATAATGAAAGCTTCAATATTTTTGTAAAAATTTCGAAAGCACATATCTCATAAACAAAACCTCCCAAAATTCTACAATGCTTTAAACAAAATATTTAAATCAATTAGGAGCTTAGCCCTATCCAGCCAGCTAACAAAATATATAACAAAATAAAAACCCTGACTATAACCTATATGGAGCACCTAAAAGTTAATTAAAAAAATAAAATTTTATAATTCAAATTTACATCAAAAAGTAGCTTAGTCTATAGGTCTTCCACTTCCCAGTTAGTGGTTAAGTCCTCAACAATTAGCAGGAAGTTTAGCATCAACTAATAAATCTAACACCAAAATATTTTTCAGTGAATAGTATCCCAAAAATGAAATTTAAAAGAGTAAAAATAAT